AAAAGTAGAGAGTCGGGCGACGGACTCTATTACAATACTTCCTCTGCTTACGCTCGGGAAATAATTTGGAATCTGCACAACCGAAGCTTTGAAATCTTGCACATAGTTTACAGTTATGATAAGCATAATAAGTTTTTAATCAAAATATATTTACTTATTCCCTCCAAAAAATGGATGACGTCAGCTCAAAATTTTTCCAAATAAATCCTAACTAAAATGTACAAAATATGATGTGTCTTGTAATTTATCATTGCATTCATTTTTACTTCCCGAGCGTAAGCAAAGGAAGTATTGTAATCGAGTCCGTCGGCCGACTCTCTACTTTTACGTTTTCTCGATCTTTCATGACCCCTAGAAGACGAAGAAATAGGTCTCCCATTTCCGTCTGTCTGTCCGTCTGTCCGTCTGTCCGTCTGTCCGTCTGTCCGTCCGTCTGTCCGTCTGTCCGTCTGTCCGTCTGTCCGTCTGTCCGTCTGTCCGTCTGTTGTCCCGGATTTTTATTAGACAGATAATCTCCGAAAGTACTCGACCGATTGTTGTGAAATTTTGTACTTATATTAAGAATATCATGTAGATGGTAAAACGCTAACCAAAATTTGTCTAATCATCCCCACTACTAATGCGATGACGTCACTTCAAAATTGTACATAGTAAATGGGTTTTCAATTGTATAAAATAACATAGTCCTACACATGTAGTTTACAACTCTGAATCGACTTTTCACCCGAAACGTCCAGATTTTTGGAAAAAAAATCAAAATTATAAAACAACATTTTGAAATTTAATTTTTAATCTGCTAACCAGAATGCTTTGAAATTTTGCAGATGTTTTAAGGCTATAAAGAGCATCATAAATCTTTAGTCAAAAAATATTTGCTTATCCCCTCCAAAAACTTGATGACGTCAGCTCAAAAGTTTGTGGAATAAATCATATCTAAAATGTACAAAATATGATGAGTCTGTACTTGTGATCTATCACTCCATTCATATTTTTTGGATTTGCATATACAGGGTGACTCAAAAAAATTAATGAATGCGTAAATATATTTTATTGATTTAATCAGGAACTACAAAACCGAATGCTCTGAAATCTTGCAGATGTTTTAAGGTCATAAAGAGCATAATAAATGTTTAGTCAAAATATATTTGCTTATCCCCTCCAAAAACTTGATGACGTCAGCTCGAAAGTTTGCCGAATAAATCATATCTAAAATGTACAAAATATGATGAGGCTGTACTTGTCATTTATCACTCCATTCATATTTTTTGAATTTGCATATACAGAGTGACTCAAAAAAATTAATGAATGCGTAAATATATTTTATTGATTTAATCAGGAACTACAAAACGGAATGCTCTGACATCTTGCAGATGTTTTAAGGTTATAAAGAGCATAATAAATTTTTAGTCAAAATATATTTGGTTATCTTCTACAAAAAACTGATGACGTCAGCTCAAAAGTTTGCCGAATAAATCGTATCTAAAATGTACAAAATATGATGAGTCTGTACTTGTGATTTATCATTCCAATCATATTTTTGGATTTGCATATGCAGGGTGACTCAAAAAAATTAATGAAGGCGTGAATTTATTTTATCGATTTAATCAGGAATTAGAAAACCGAATGCTTTGAAATCTTGGGAATATTTTAAAGTTATTATAAGCATGGTAAACTTTTGTTCAAAATGTATTTGTTCATCCCTCCTAAAAAAATTGATGACGTCACCCTTAAATTTTGCTGAATAAATCCTATCTAAAATGCAAAAAATATGATGAGTTTGTACTTGTGATTTATCATTCCATTCATATTTTTTAGATTTTCTTAAGAGGTGGTTCAAAAAAAATTAATGAAGTCAATTTATTTTATTGATTAAATTAAAGGCAACACTTATTATTAGTATTACACCCCAACCAACCCAATTTGGTAGACACAAAATTTGTTAAAGGAAAAACTCGGTTGAAACATAAGGGTAGCACGCTTATTTACATCGACTTTAACATTACAGACCTGCATTTGTTCACTTGGTTCCGCGAATGTGAAATAGACATGTTTATAATCAACCAATTATGAATTTCACCGTCAAGAATTAAAATAAAACCCAATGTTTTATATAATAAGCGGAAGTCGAAGCAATAAAACCGATGGTCGTTTTGTTTACAGTTTCTCTGTTTGGCTCTCACGTATGCTGTTACGCTTGTCATCTTAAATTAAGAATGTTTATACATAAACGATTTTCAGTTGCCGTATACGTGAGTAAATTGTTTCGTTATTTTATTCATTATAAAAAATCAATATTCAAAACGACCCAATTCATTTTCCCGAAAATTTGGGAATACAATAATTTTATTCTTAGTATTACACTACATCTATCCCAACTGATATCCGTGTCCTTGCAAAAATGTTGATGACGTCATCGCAATTTTAAATTCCCACTACAAAAATGTAATGAGAAAAAAACACAATAGCCATGCAGTCGTCAAGTTTCCGACAGCGAGGGAAGTACTGTCTAAACTCTTTAGACCAATTTTTTTTAGATCTGCTTATACAGGGTAACTCAAACAAATTAATGAATCAGTCAATTTATTATTGATCAAATTAAGAACGAGCTGTGACTTCCAAAGTGAAAGCGAATTTATTGAAATATCCCGTCACAGAACTCTAATGAGAAGAATCTATGATAGACGTACAGACACGATTTTGAGAGCGAGGGAGGTACTGTCTAAACTCTTTAGACCAATTTTTTTAAATAACATACGGGATGTTCTGTTAAATTTCGATGTTTGAAAAATGTTATATTTGTTTTTTTTATAAACATTCTGTATATTAAAAGTCAATTTAATTTACATCACAACAAAGCGCGTCCTTTGTTAATCTCTCCACAAAATAAGTAGAGTGATAGAGAATTGGACTAACGTGGCAACGTCGCATCTGAATTTTAAAATAAACTACGGTTTTACTCAATGAAGAGGCTAACGAGAACGAGAATATGTATATAAAGATATATAGACTGCTCCATTAAAAACAAACTAGTTGGATATTACGCACAAAAGCAGAACTCTCTGTATAGTTCAAAATAATTATAACGTATGCTACCCAGAGAACCGTACAACTTTAGTCTCAAGGTTTTTTTGTTAATTATTAATAATTGATGAGATATGGATGAATGCGCTCTTAGTGGCTTATCCTGTATACATTGAAGTACAAGCACTACTGTAATTCGAAGCACCCTTTTAAATGTATTAAAATGAATGAATAGACAAATTTTGATTAACGTTGGACCATTTTTAGAATAACCTGAAATAACACCTACTGAAAATTCAAAATAATCAGTTCTATAGGGACGAAGACGATTTGTCTGAAAAAACTGGTGATTCAGAACATACAAATGACAGCTCATGTTAAAGGAATAGAGAAAACACGGAATTATTGACTTCTTGTTTCCTTTGTTGTCAGTTACACTACATCCCTTAGGTATCACACCAAGACTATAACATGATAGGACTAACCATTTTGAACTTGCATATTTTGCATACAAAGTTTGTTTAATTCATTTATCGCACATATTGTAGATATTTAGGATAAAATAAAGGGGTAACTTTTACCAAATTATGGATCCCTATAATTGTTGTCGAGGCTACCCGAAACATTAAGCCGACCCTTTCTTTTTAACGTTACGTAACAGTAATTTACACAACTAGTTCAAGAAAGCCCCTTTACCGCACGGACGCTTGTTTGCCCGCTTTTGCGGGAATGTGCGAAGCAAGCTGGACAAACGTGGTTTTTCAAATCAAAAGATTAACTGTTAGTTATTTATAAACAATAACGATGACAACTGCAAACACATCACAATGTTGACGCTTCCAGGGTACTTTAATATACAGGTGAACAAAAAATGACGCGCTAACTTTATGATATGTTGTTAAAAACTGAAGAAAAAATAATTTAAAAAATTCTTGCGTCAAAGTATTAGTTTTACACCATAAAACTGAAATATTTGTCCCTACTACAAATTTGATATCATCATCACGAAAAAAAAAACAATTTTTATTTTAACGTATTCTCATTAGCATAAAACAATAAAACTCTCAGAATACAACTAAAAGATTTATTTGACTGTTCACCGAAGACGAGGGAAGTTCTGGGTGAATGGTCCAGTGGTTTGATTTTAGAGAATTTTTTTATTTTAGAGTTAAAAAAACATATCATAATTTTTAAATTTATTTGCCTCGAAAATATAGCCAGTATCAAATACAGTTCTCAAATAAAAAATTATCTGTGAATTTTTGACAACTATAAATAAGTTTCAGTTTAATAAAAATACGTTATGCAATTTTTAAATAATTTGTTAAAATCTGATATCATTTAATGGTGAAAGCAACCTTTATGGCAAAATTTAATAGTATGTGTGCAGTGAAATATCAATCTTCGACAACAGAAACTTAGACAGGTGACAAAGAAAAAAAACGTACATTGTTGCAATATACAACACCATGTAAACATAAAATTAGACATTCATCAAAATAACCCCGTTACAAATTTTCGTGGCTGTCATTCCGGAAATAAAAACTGCTGCCGCAACTAATAAAAAACATTCGGCTAAAACAAGAAAACATAGATTACAAAAATAAAACCAGTTGTAAATTATTTAGCTTGGCAACCACACCCTCTCTAGGTGTATTACATACCTCAATCATATTTCACCAACAAAACACGCTATCCTAATCACTCTGATTCACCGACTGCTCCGCGTTCTACATTCATCCGTATTTGAAATTTACCCGTACAATTCCCCAGCACAAATACTCAAATCGCATTCCCAGCTTACAAAAATAATCCCCGCAGAAGAGCAAGAAGAAAGCGAGCAGATGCTATCAAAGAAGCGGATTTAAATTAATGCGATTATCATGATTCCGCTTAAAACAGCGAAATAAACATCACGCTTTGCGCGGATCAAACACCGACTATCTATGATTTTCTACGTCGGTGGTGACGGAGCTTACCGCTACAAAGCTTCCTCGAGTCCGTCTTGTTGACAGTGGAGCTTTCTGTAGTGGTGGGGATTTCTGGGTGTCCGTCTAACGAGCAATTAAACTGCGACTCCCAGAATTCTTGAAACCATGGGTTCCTGGTGTTGTTGTTGGGCCTTAACGAACAGTAGTAGTTGTCGAAGGAGTTAACGCGGGGGGAGTGAATTCTTATTGACAATCCACCCCAGGCTTCCTCTTCGTATTCTTCAGTTACGTCGTTTCTGTCCGCCCAGCCGTCACTGAAAGCGTAATGGTCATAATCATTTGTTTTTTATTGGAATACCATCGTAAAAGTATGATAAATTTTGACAAAGTTGGACTAACATTAATATCTGTACCAAATTACTAACAACTAGACAAAGTTGGAATCTTGCATTTTCGTATCCTATGAGCTGTGAAAACATACAAGTATATAAAATTACACAGTAAAATTGTAGAAGATGAATAACAACGCATAATATTTGAAATCGTGATATTTTGATGATTTATCACACACCTCCTCGACTTGTGTGATAACCTGATAACCCCCATTATACACTCGTTTAATGTAATGTATTGTAAGTCAGTAAACAATAGTCAGAGAAAATTAGGAATAATGCCAAACGATCTTTGTTTATTAAGTCATTTTGTTTAGCAAGCTGAAAGTTCTCAAAGACGAGAATACTGGAAAATTTCCACACGGTTTTAGTTTACAGGAAAAATCTAATTTAAAGAACAAAGGAGCAGTAATCTATTACCTAATTTTCCGATTAATTATAGGTACTTAATTAATTAAAATAATTAATCAACATCGTAAATGGGAACACAATAATAATTAAGATAATATAGTAAATATAATTTAAGAACAAGTAATTATGAATTCAGTAATTACAAATTAAATCCAATTACACAAAATATATTTCATGAAAAAAATTAATTAAGTAATTAAAAAGAAATCGTTCACAATTAAGGACGCTTGATTAAAATTAAGGAATAATTAATTACTTCGGCAGTGATTAAAATTTGTTTTGGAGCAATAATATGTGGGTATTATAACACATACTTTTAAGTTCCAGTTAGACAAACAATAATGAATACATTTTTATTCCAATTTTTTTCATTACTAACATTAGTTATTAGTGGTTTGAGAAAGCTATAGCAACGTGTTGTATATCACTGAAGCACGCCATTTTTAAACCGACAAATACCTTAATTTCAAGACACGACGCTTTTGACGGAGGTTTTATTGAAGAAGAAAGGCGTCTCGAGGGAGATGATATGCCAATATGACTTTAGAATTTTATGAATATGTTGCAATAACTGTACGGTAGTTTCGTGGCTATAAAACTGTAAATTTTATCGTAAGGATCTCTGTGTTCAACAGCCGTTTTTATTAAACGAATTAAGGGGGAGAACAGCACTTCTGAAAAATCAAATTTTGTGGAAATCACATCATTAAAGGCAATCATGCGTTATGCAGCTCTCTAGGTAGACTTTCTGACAATTTTTTCAGCACGAATACTTTTCTTTGTGTCGTGGTTGGAGGTAATGATAATACAGTGTTTATTTGAAGCGGCAAGAGAAACATTTTTAAAGAAAAATATTGCCGTTAAAGCAACAATAAACACTGCTGGTAACAGAAAATAAAAATAGTAGTTTCTCTTTTAGATGTGCACCATTTCACTGAAATTATGATTAACAAAATACGGCGTCGCGTGTTTATGTATTGTAAAAAGAAACATAATCGGTTATATGTATATAGGATCTGTGTCTGCAACGTTTAAGTCATAGTTGGTGACTGAGCCACTACTACAATACTTTTCTGAATTATGTCGTGGAAATAAAAACTTTCTAACGTAATCTAGTTTTAGACACTGTTTAAAAAATTTTAAAACTAAGTAAAAAACAATTACTTTCTTGTTTACGATGCGGAGTGTCCTTTGACTCAACATTAGTCATATTTAGTAGATACATATTGGTTAATATGTACATTTATAACAGCGATATCGTATTATATCTATGCTGATTGGCTATTGGCATAATGAGGTATAAATAGAATTCTAACCATGAAACAGATTAATCGTGCACCAGCTTATTAAAGTGTGATTGTTGGGGTTGGATATTAATGGTTCGTTTATTGGTCAAATAAATTGCATTGGATTCCACCGCAAGTCAACACTGGAACTGAAAATGTGTAGTAATTGATGAACTAATTATTTATATAATGCTAATACTAATGTTAACACATTGCATTGAATTCCGCCCAAGTCAACAGTAGAAGTGAAAATGTTTAGTAATTGATGTACTAATTATTTATATAATTATTTTGTTTCATTTGCGGAGAACTTGTGTAAACTATGTGATTTTATGAACAGATTATTAAATTTTAATGTATTAAGCGAAGTGTTGTCATAAGGTAGAAGCCGAATTTCGTAACACAATGAACAGTAGGCATAGATGGTAATAAAGTGCTAATAAAATACTCATTTCAAGATTATTTTGAAAAATTCCTAATAACATTTTTTTGGATTTTATAAGATTTCTCGTTCAGTTTTTTCTCGAATTGTTTTTAAACATATATACTTTATAAAGAAATGTTAAATTTTATATGTAAATAAATTTGTCTGTCTATTTTTTTTTAAATTGAGAGACGGCTGGTGCCAGGGAGCACAAGGGCACGTGCTCCCAAAATCACAACGTCTACAAACACACTGGACAAAGCAAAATAATAATTTTCAATATTTAAAAAATTATCCGGAAATTTGTGTCATAATTATTAAAACTAATTTTTTTCTCGCTCTATTTGTATAAAATGTATCAATACTTACATCTAAAGATGTTGTGTTGGATATATGATACGTTGCTGAAGAGCTCATAAAAGCGGAGACCACATCTTGCCTCATTTAGACGTTTTGTTTACACCGTTGCCACGGAAACCGTGCGTCTAGTCGCTGTATTCAGCTGAAACGGGTCCTGCTCGAGCAGTGACCACTACCAATAACTCTCATTCTGCGCGAGTGAAATTGTTTGATTTTAAATGAAAATAATTAATTCAGTTGAATATTTATTAAAAGTCGTCCTCTGTCTTACGACGGTAAAATTTTAGTGAAAAATTTATTAATAAAAAGCAGTGTTCATGACAAAACGAGAGACTTTCACAGATATTTTAATCGACCTAACCAGCATGGTAAATTTTTGTGGATGTGCATGTTTTCCGTCATACAATTTCGTCTATTAATTATTGATAATAACAGCCTATTTTATCTCTTCATTTTTACTTCATCAATAAAATTGTGTCCCCCCATTTCAAAAGGCCACGACCCGCCACTGCTGTTAAATCAATTTCATTTGCAATATGTTTATTTTTTTACGACAAGGATATTGAACTTATGTAAAGAAGCGAATGGGACTACCGTATATGGGAGAGGAAAATTCAGTTAACATTAATAATAATAATGATAATAAATACCTTTATAAAGAAAAAAGGTTGACACTCTTGCTTTACGTGTTTTTTTAAAATTTGTAGTGATCTTGAACTAACAAAATTTTACTTCTTTTATCAAGAGGACAAGAACGGACTTTTCAGGAAATTTGGAAAAACTAACCACCAATCTTTTCTGTGCTGTGATGTTATCTTATTTGTTTTATTAAAAAGTCTCTGTTGAAAATACGTTGATGCATCCGATATTTATATTTACAATGAAAAGTGGAATTTTCATGTAATAGATGTTGTAATAATTAATAAAATAACAAAATGCAGAAAATTTGTTTATTTCAAAGTTACTCGTACTATCATTATGTCAGGTATACATAATATAATTCAACATTCAATTTAAAACTTTAGACATTCGTAATATTTCTGTTCAGTTTTTTTTTTCTTTTTTTCTTTAAATCGTATGCATTTCACAACATAACTTTTTGTTGCAAAATCATTATAATACGTAATAAAGTTTTTAAGACACAACTTTACTCACTCAGAGTCTCTCAGTAGCAAGTACAGTCGTTAGATAAATTTATAATAGTGGATTCTGCGAATTTTATTTTTTATGAGCATAAGCTAAGGAAGTATAGTAATCGAGTTTATGGGGTGATTTGCCAGTTTCATATTTTCTCGACATTCCATGACCCCCATAGTACTAAAAAATGGTCTCCCGTTTCCATCTGTATGTCTGTTTGTCCGTCCGTCTGTCTGTCTGTCTTTCGTCTGTGTCGATTTTTATTAGGCAAATAATATCCGAAACTATCGGACCGATTGTTGTCAATTTTTTTATGTAAATTAGCAATATCATGTAGATGATAAAACGCTAACCAAAATTTGTGTGATCATCCGCACCACCAATAGTAATTTGTTTCTAATTCTATCAAATAAAATACTCCTGCACTTGTGAAAGTGATGTATGAATCCGTGTTGAGGTTTCAACCTATATATCCAGATTTTTGAAAAAAAATCAAAATTGTATAACAACATTTTGCAATTTAATTTGAAACTTCAAAACCGAATGCTCTCAAATCTTCCAAACCTTCAAATACAGTCGTAATCATGGTAAATCGTTGATTAAAATTTATTCGTTTATTCCATCCCGAAAAATTAATAACGTTATCTCAAAATTTTGGATAATAAATCCTCTCTGAAACATGTAAAATATTATGATTTTGGACTTGTGGTTTATCAGCGCACTTATAGTTTAGAATTCCTTATACAGTGTGACTCAAAAAATTAATGAATGAAGCAATTTATTTTATTGTGTAGGTAAGCGAAGAAAAATGTTGCTCCTCCGGTGGGAATCGAACCGCACGTTTACCGCTTGCCGGGCGGGTGCCCTTACCACTAGAGTACAGAGGAGCTTATCTTTCCTCGCTTAGTACTACGTATTATTGTGCCACCACAATTGATTAAATCAAAAACGACAAATTGGGATGAGACACGAGTGATCATAGTTTTCGTTTTATAAAATCGTTGAGGTTTAAGTTATTTGAACATTCGTCCCTCACTCTTTATACACATATTTTGTTGTCGATTCAATAGGCGTAACAGAGTTTTGTTGTAGTTACGAGTAATATATATACTTTTGACTGAGGTTGCCAGTTGTGTTTTGAGATTATTTAATGTACACCCATTTTTTCTACGGCACGATAGTGTTAAAAGATGGCAACGGGGGATTCATTTTTTCATATTCTATGAATTTTGAAATGTAAAAATATGACATTAGAATATTTCCTTTTTATTGTTAATGTTTAATATATTTTGACGTACGATTTC